ATTTTTCAGTATTTGCTATAGATAGTATGACTGGTCAAATATTTTTAACTGGAAATCTTGATTACGAGAAGCAGAGGAAGTACAAATATACTGCAAAGGCCTCAGACGATGGTGGACTGTTCTCGGAAGCGGTAATTTCAATCCTCATTTGTTCATTTTTGTATAATTTCGATTGCTGTTGCTTCTAATTTTTGAAGCTCTTACAAAGAGTTCTATTAGGATTTTAAAGACAGCTTAAATACTGAAAAATTTACCGTGGACTGTGGGTATGAGCAGTTGGAGATGCAAAGCGAATGAAGGTTTCATAAGATCTGTAGCTTTTCAATTCTATGTTTAAGTTTCACATTTCAGATCGTCTTAATTTTTGTTGATGACGTTAATGACAATGCTCCAATCGTGGGCCGTCTTTCGCAAGTAACAATAAATTCAGATGTGAGCGAGGGGCAGTTTGTCATGAAATTGGTTGCCACAGATGTGGTGAGATTTAGTTGGCTTTTGTAGGACTTTTTTTGGTCTCTAATTACAGTATTTATTCAAAGTAAAATTGTTAAGAATTACTTCATGTGTGTCTTTTTTTTAGGACACCGTCGCTAATTTTCCAACCTCGCAGCGGCTGTCATACTCGATAACTGATGGAGATGAAACGCTACTCCATTTGAACAATACCAATGGTGTGATCACTGTTGCTCGTGCTCTGACCTCCAAAGATCTTGCTGTGCGTAATGCTCATTTCAACATATCTGTGTCTGATGGCATTCACACGGCTTACACAGAGTTACTGGTCTCATTTGTTGAGGGTTTCAGCCACCAGCCAGAACTCAAATTTGAGCGGTTATCCTACGAAGTAACAATTCGAGAAAATAGGTAGAGTTTTTAAAAATTTTATTTATGAGCTTCAAACCTGTGTTTTTATTCCTGCTGGTTTATCACATTTTAAGAGTAATTTTGTAGCTCCTTCTTGACCATCGTATTATTTGGTTAATATTTATTCTTCACTTGCAGAAAAATCGGCATTTATCTAACAACTCTAAAAATCAGTGACAAGGCTCGTTTTGTTCGCTACGGACTTGTGAATAAGAATTCAGAGGTTCCGCGGCCTGTTCAGGTTGATGAGAAAACGGGAGTTGTAAAATCAGCGTTAGTTTCAGTTTATCTCGGTTATGTATCGTTTGCTTTTTCACGTTAATTTGACGTGGCTTCAACTTACCGGCTCTTTGTTTGGTTAGGATGACATTTGATTATGAAGCACAAAACTTTTATCGAGTTTCTGTCATGGCTGTGGATGAAAATAATAGGCGAGCTTTTGCCTTTTTGCTTCTTCACGTAACGCCAGAAAACGACAATGTTCCACTGTTTACACTCTCGAAATATGAATTAGACGTTTGGAATAACATTCAGGAAGAAGAGCCAGTGTTCATTGTAAGTTTTTGTTTATTTATATAAAGCAAAAATTCTCTCATTTTTGTTAAGAAGAGGGCAAGGAAAGGTGAAGAAGTAGAGAGTTTCCTTTGTTGTTGTTCATTCCCAGCTAGTCATCCATCCAATTTTTTTAATCTCAAATTTAAGCTAGTCTTTGTGTTTTGTGCAATAAAGCATACTTTCTTAAAGGCTTACGCGACTGATAAAGATGCAGACGACCAAGTGGAATATGATTTAAACATTGCAAATGAATTGTCTGGATTTGTAAAGATAGATATTAAACATGGAACTGTCAGTGTTAAAAAGCTGCCCAGTTTTCATGGTTTGTTGTTATTAGGTTTTTCATAGTTGATTTTCTCTCTCGTTTTCTTCTTATACTTTCCTTTTCCAAAAATCTTTCATGTCGAGAAGGTAAATAATGTGGTACCACTGTTAAAATACTAATTTAAGGAAAGACAATGAAATTTTTTGTGCGTGCTACTGATCTTGCCAATCCTCCTCATCGAAGTGAAGCGGAAGTAATCTTGAACTTAATTTCACCTGACTCCTCTTTGCTTCGTTTTTCAAACGACCAGTATATGTTTAATATATCGGAGGATGTTCCGCTGAACACAGTTGTTGGTCGTCTTGAGATAAGAAATGAGATTCGTAAGATTTATTCTAATGATGCTGAGAATTTTTACTCTTGACTTTTGAAAATTGAAAGACATTTCAAGCTTTTTAGAGGTTTCGAAGTTCCGGTTTTCTTTGACAGAAGAACAAGCAGGTCCTGACTTTCCGTTTTATATTGAAAGCAGCACCGGAAATATTATAGTTTCGAGCCCACTAAGCGAAAAAAAGGTACAATAACAATAGAGTTGTTAATGACAGTTCAATAAAACTGGGTCACAGATAATCGCTATCTAGTTACTTAATGCGGAATTAGTTTTTTCAAGTTTTAGAAAACGTTTTGAACCACTCGCACGTACCTGTTGAATAACACTGAGTTTTGCTGTTTAGATGCCAGTCTGGCGTTTTATGAGTCGAGTTGCTCAGGCGAACAGTCCGAAATCGGGTTCTTTGGCTCTTGTTACCATTTTTGTGAATAAATCAAAGAAGGCGCGTGCTCCGTATCGTGCAGTCTCTGCAAACCTTCTAGTCCCAGAAGACACGTTGCTGGGTGCCAGTATTGACGTCTTCTCTGTTGATGAGACTAATCTTGATTCATTGATTTCTTACTCCTTAGAAAAAGTAGGTGGTGAAACAGTACTTAAATTATTCTACATTTACTATTCTGCATCTTTAGTACCTGTTAAATTGCTAATTTTTCGGCTTTTTCGTAGTGCTGGATAGGATAAATTTTAATTTGGTTTATGTCATGACTTTTTTTTTCAGAGCAGTTCATCTGAATTTTTTCAAATTGATGCACAGTCTGGGATTTTATCTCTTGAGAAGAAGCTCGATCGTGAAAGTCAGCCGGAACATTCAATTACTGTGGTGGCCTCTGATGAACGGCGTGTAATTTCGAAAATATCTGTTCTTGTAATAGTTCAGGACGTCAACGACTCACCTCCTAAATTTGAGCCTGAAAATTATGAGTTCGTGGTTAAAAAAAGGGAAGCTAAAAAGCAGTATATCGGAAAACTTGTCGTTACGGTTAGCGTTTTGCGAGGCTTTAATTCTTATGGGAAAAAAGTTAAATTTGTTAAGGAATAAGATTTGACTAGTTTAAATTTTTGCCTTTGCAAATAGTAATGTCATTGTTGACGTATTCAAATTTTTGTTGAAAAAGATATTTGGTTGAGGCACAGTTTAATAACCAATACTTGTTTATCACCTAGTGTATTCTTACAGGATCCTGATTTACCCGAAAGCAATAATATGCATCTGTATATCATAGAGGGCAACGAGGATCAAATGTTTCACATCGATAACGATGGCTCATTGTACCTTTTGGCCTTTAAAGCAGAGGCGATTCCTGATAGGAAGAATTTAACAGTGATGGTATCTGATGGAAAGTTCCACTCGACGACGCTTGTTAAGGTAAATTTGGTATTATCTGTTTTATGTGACATTGTCAGTTGAACAGTACTTAAAATTAGAGGTAATCATAAAAATCTTCAGGTTTGGTTTGTGGAAGAACTTCGGAGTTTTTATTGTGAAGACAGGATTTATAAGCAAGATCTGCCTGAAAATGCCACTTCCGGTACTGTAGTAACTGAGGGACTTCGGCAGATACCAGATGATTTTCGTTTCTTACTGATTGAGGGAGATTCCTCCACTTTGAAAGTAAATAAAAATGGGAGGACAGTACTTTCTAAGAGGTTGGATCGGGAGTCTTCTGATCAGGTTGGTACCATTGTTCTTTTGCAACTGATTGACTCTATAATTATCTTTATGTTTAATAGTCTGATTATAGCATAAATTCATCTTGCGGGGACAAGGATCAGGAGCAATCTGCATTTGGCAGATTTATCTGGATGTGTTAGACGTCAATGATGAGACCCCAGTTTTTGAGATGTCTGAATATTCACTGAGTGTTAAAGAGAACGCGATGACATCGAGAAATAACCGTATTTTCTTAACGAAGTTAGAAATAACACTGTTTCTACTTTGTAATTTTTGAAAATTTCGCACCTATTTATTTTCCCATCTTTTCGACTTTGACTTATCTGAGTTTGCGTAGTGATTAACAGCGGTTTGTACAAAAAGCAGACTGCTCTTATGCATCTCCAGATTTACTGTCTACGACCGTGACCTCGGCAGTGGAAGCAAAATTTCATTCTATTTTGACGAGGGGTTCAACAATGTAATTCGTGAAACATTCCATTTAAATGAGAAGACAGGCGTTTTGTCACTGATGAAACCTCTTGATCGGGAAACGGAAGAAAGATACTTATTTATGGTTAGAGCAGTGGATGGTGGTGGAAAATTTTCGAAAGGTGCGGTTATTAAGTTTTATAATAATCGTAAGTAACTGTTTTTTATAGTATATGGAGTTCTCTTGCTTCGAAATAGAGCATTTGGAAGCAACTGTTTCCTGACTTTGTATTATCTCACTGTTTACCGTGTTCGTCGTAAAAAAAAAAGCTCATTAATTGTTGCTTATACCTTGACTTAAAAGTAGGGGAGCCAAGTTTTTTTAATGTTTTAGATGATAAGTTAACTTTTTAGCGAAGGTAACAGTGGTTGTTGCTGACGAAAACGATAACGAACCACAGTTTGAGTTCACCCAATACAAGTTCCAAATGAGTGAATCTGAAATGGCAGGGTATAAAATCGGTCAAGTTCGTGCCTTCGATTTGGACAAGAATGATCACGTTCGGTACAATATTGAAGGGTCTGATATTGTCAAAAAACATGTGGTTATTGATAGATCTTCAGGTCCTTTCTACAGAATAATAGAATATTAATTTTTGATTTCCTTTTCTAATGATTTTTATTTTATTTTAATGACGCTACTATTTACCAGTTATTATCCGTAGACATTAAAAGGTTTTTTAGGTGACATCAAGCTCTCTGCTCCGATTGATTACGAAATCACAAAACACCTCTCTTTCGCTGTAAGTGCTACAGATTCTGGAAGTCCTCCTCTCCAAAGTTTTTGTAGTGTCGAAATTAAAATCCTCGACACGAATGACAACCCTCCAAAATTCGGACGCAGCAGCTACAAAACAGTTGTTCGAGAAAGTTCCCCTGTTGGGACTAGAGTGATGAAGGTGAATGCTGTAACTGGAGTCTCATTTTCTCGTTATAATCGCTTCTTTTTTGCTAAATGTGAAGCTTGTCTTGAAGATGGTCGCCACTGATGCCGATAGCGAACAGTATGGTCGTGTAACGTATCGTTTGTCCGGAGGTGAAGGGGTTTTTTCAATAAGTGAAGACGGTTGGATTCTGGTTAGTGGAGAAGTAGATCGGGAAAAGGTTTCTGTTTTTAATAATTATCATTATTATCAAAATTATTCATTTTGCATAATCAGCTGGTTTTTTTTCTTGATATTTGTGTTTTTTAAAGCCATAAAATACTTATGGATTCTTTTTTTTAGCCTCCAACTTTCATTTCAACTTCACAACTTCTTAGTGCCATGTCTTTTCAGCAGCCAGCTTATCGACTACATGTTATTGCTTCCGATGGTGGTACTCCTCCACTTACTTCGTCGACTGAAGTAATAATATCCTTAGAGGATGTAAATGATAGTCCACCTATCATTACTCCATGCAATATAACGGTTTTCGTGCAGGTGGGCTCATAACACTTAAGAGTCCAATCAAAATACACTTCAAAATACTATGTCTTTTTTGCGTAGTGTTTTAAAATTCCCGGCATTTTTTGCAGGAAAATGTTGAACCTGGATACATCCTTTCTAAGGTTACAGTAACAGACGAAGATGCATCACCAAATGCAGGCCCATTCAGGCTAAATATTGTTGGTGATGGGTCGGAATCATTCTCTTTTGACTCAGAGTTCAATTTAATAGCAAACTCTCGTTTATCTTTTAATAGAAGAAAACTGTATTTACTTAATGTGAGTTATTGCTTGCAAATAGATAAATAAGGAATTCTTGTTTATATTAATCTGTTTGTTCATAAATGTTTTCTGATGATCGTTCATATTGATAGCTACCATGTTAAACACTCCATAATAGACTTCCACAAAAAGGAAAAAAAGACAGAATTAATTTTGTATTGGTGCCATTTCTGAAACTTCTGATTACCTCTGTCATCATAGCTATTTTCTGTTGCAGGTTATTGCGTATGATCGTGGAGGCCTCTCTACGGAATGCCCGTTGACGGTTCATGTTAAACAGGAAAGCTTACATCCACCTGAAATATACCCGTTAAAAATTAACATGAACATTTTCATGAACGAATATTTAGGTGGAAAAATTGGAGCGATTTCTGCGAAAGATCAGGTATATTTAATTTATTGGTACAGTTCACACTCTTTTTTGCTGCGATTTTTGTATGGTGGTATGTTTCAGTAAAAACAGAAAATATGAGGAATTTTCTTTGAAGCTCATTAACTTATAATCTGACATACTGATTAAAATATTTTTCGTTTTTTTTTTTTTTAGGATTCGTTTGATCTATTACATTTCTACATGGGTGGCGACACAACTTCTTCGTTCAGAGTTATTCCAGGAACAGGAGAAATTTTTGCTAATCCCGGTTTAACAGCTGGTTTATATGAATTTCTCGTTAATGTTACAGACGGCAAATACATTGTAAAAGCTCCGGTTTCTGTTATTGTTAGTTCTTTTGTATTTGATTTGTATTCAGAGTGAATCAGCACTGTTTCAACTGCTGAAAAATATTTGAAATTTTTGGATAAATTTATGGAAAGACTTTCGAATTTGTTCTTTCAGGTTCATTCTATTACACAGAGTAGTTTGGATCATTCAGTCAGTGTCCGCTTCTTCAACACTACAGCAGAAAAATTTTTGGGCGATTATCTACCGGTTCTTGAAAAAGCCTTTTCATACCTTGGGGATTTTCAAGTCCTGTCACTTCAAGAAAATCATTCCGGAAATGACAGAGGTATATTATGGTTTGAAAATAACTGGTCGGAGCTGCCAAATGAAGGCTCTGTTTCTTATGAGTGTAATTGAGTATCTATCGAATAGGATGCCTCTAAGTCATGTTTGCCTCTGTAGTTTTGATACCAGTGTTTTGAAATTAAATATGAGGGTTTTATCGGATAATTATTTTGTTTTGAAAGTTTACTTGGCTATTTGTTTAAGGTCTTGCCAACTTCCGTTCAAGTCGTTTTCAACCGCGACTTCGAAGAAACCGTAGTCACAGAAAGGATATTACGTGGCCTTCAGCCATTCTCGACGTTCTTATTGTGGTTTCAAACGCAGTTGGGTATCAAAAACCAGATAGGATTAGTAAAGTTTTTAGCACCATACTAGAAGATTTGCCGATCTTCGATGAATTAAAGGTTTATAACGTCTCTTATTAAATCTGCTGAAAATTAAACTGCTGTTCATACAGTTAAAATAACTGAGTTAGGTTTTTTGAGGACCGTCTAGTTTTATGGTTCTTTTATATTTGCAGATTAATATAACAACAGAGGTTTGTAATTTGCACACCTGTGGAGAAGGCGAGTGTATTGGCAGATTGTACCTTGAAGAATCCGAATTTCCTTACTATACATACAATCATGAGGTTTTCTCGGCTCCACGACACGAAAGGACTTTCGAATGCATTTGCCGCGAAGGCTACGGTGGGCAACAGTGTACTGAACGCATCAATAGATGTAGCGAGGATCCCTGTAGATCGCATGAGTCCTCTTTAAATGCGGTTGGTTAATGATGCAGTAAACTTTTTAGTTGTTGTTAATCATTGTTCTTCTATACAGTTGGCGTTTTTTAGATGATGTGCGTTCCTTTGGAAACACCTTCTGGATATGAATGTGTATGCCCACCAGGTAGAAGTGGCCCATATTGTGAAACGCCAAGTTGCGACAAGGACTTCACAGAGTGTAGCAAATGTTAGTTGCCTTTTCATCGCTATATTTTTTTCAAATTTTTGATGAAAAATTGTTGCTTCAGACGGTTGCTACTAAACCGAGTCGCTTATATCGCTGTTTCAGATTCTGAAATTAGTGTCAACGGAAATGCATACTTCCAAATCTTGGTCACTTCTTCTTTGGAAGAAAGCTTGCGATTGTCTTTTAATCTTCGTACGATCAGTTCGGAAGCTGTAATTATGTATGGTGCAGGCGAAAATGATTTTCATTCAATTGAGGTAGACAGTTTCTGAAAATTGTTAGTTCATAACATAATATGAAATGAGTGCACATTTTTTTCACTTTTTTAGGTACAAAAAGGGTTCGTGCAATATCGTTGGGATTGTGGGGCTGGCGTTGGTGTGGTTAATGCAAGCAGCATTAATATATCAGATGGTCACTGGCATAACATAGAGGTTTATCGATACGGTCGTACTGCCAGACTGAAAGTGGATAGCGTACATTACTTCCAGGGCTTCAGCCCAATTGGCGGTGAAGTACTGAATCTTCGCCAGAATGCTGCCAGGTACTAATTCAGTGTACTAATCTTTGCCAGATCTTTTAATAAATTTTTAAACATCCTAACAAGAGGCTTTATTTCTTTAGACTGACCTTTGGTGGACAAGTAGATTTTCCTTCGTATGATTACAATACTAAAGGATATCAACGACCAGTTATAAGCAAAGGGATGATTGGCTGCTTTGGGTATGTTCCATTAGTAGTTCCGAATACTTTGTGGTGAGAAAAGTTTCTTATAAATATACCGTTTTTAGACTTATTACAATTGACTCCGACGATCTACCAAAAACTAAACAAGGTTTACGTCTGTATAATACTCAAATGGGTTGTGCTGTATTGAAAAAAAACCCTTGTCTTCATAATCCTTGCAGAAATGGAGGATCTTGCCGACCAGGAAGTGATAATACTTTTAGGTTCGTTTCTGCTTAGTTTTTTGTAAAAACTGAAATTTCCGAGGACTTAAATTTTGAAAATTTCTTTGGGCTGGAAACTTGGTAAAAGTGCAAGGTTTTACTCTATTCTATTTGCTAAATTGTAGATGCGTTTGTCTTGGCGCTTTTACTGGCCAGTATTGCGATTATTTGTCACCATGTCGTGAGAACCCTTGCGAAAATGGAGGTCGTTGTGTTGAACAGGGAAGGGGTTACTACTGCGAGTGTTTGCAAGGCTTTACTGGTCGCAATTGCCAAAGCATTGGTAAGGCTGTTGAAATATCTGACAGAACCTTAATTATACAAGGCTTGATAGGATCTTTTCTGGAAGCATGTTCATTTGTTTCCATTCAGTAGTAAAGTAAACAGCGGAGCGTTTTTAGCCATTTGGCCATACTGCAATAATAATATTTGTGGGCGATTTGGTAGATGTGTCAGTCAACCAGATGGATTCTCTTTTTGCAACTGTTCTCATGGATATAAAGGACGCTTCTGTGATGGTACTTAAAAAGTTGCATCAACTTTTGAAATCTGTTTATAGAATTGATAAATTCTAAGTTTTTTACAACATTTCAAATTATGTTAAGACTGTTATCCTAGATTTTATTCTTTATACTTTTGCTTCAGAGTTCTCAGAAATTCACAGGATAATTGAAGTCACTCCATTTTCGTTATGATTCTCACTTTTGTCGTACATTTCTGTGATGTCTAATAGCAATTTCCGCCTGAGCTCAAACTTTTAATTCCAAAACAAAATATTTATTTTAGAACCGCCAACACACATTTTGTCAGAAGTAAAACCAGCGGGACTCACCTGGCCACAAATGTTCATGTCTCTCATATTCGTCATATTATTTTTATTTGTCCTTCTGCTTTGTTTCAAGTGTTTCATCTGCTTGAATAAGATTAGGAAAAGGTAAGATAAACTGAACTAAATGAAACGTATATCATTATTCTTGAAGCCATCTTTCTTGCACTGCTTTTGATTGAAAAGAATTAAATTGCATCGGCTTGTTGGGGCAAAAGTGTTTTTTGCGGCATTTTTTACCAGTGCAGTTGAACTGTTTTCTTTCAGCCCGACAAAACTAGGTTATAAAGACGGAGAACAGGAAACCCAACCGTTTAATCCACAACAGATGGGATCTTTTGATAGTTATCCAGTGACAGCGCCCCCTCCATTACCACCTCCTAGACATCAGTTTAGTAACCTCCAGCAAGCGCAGTTGAGCGGATTGCCATTAGTTAAAGTTCGTGCTGATAGTTTTTATTGTTAATTCCATCTCAGTTTTCATAAAATTAACTCTAAGGTCGTACACCAGCTTTTTTCTGAATTGAACCTTTTAGGTCAAGCCGATGCATCATGAGGGCACATCAAGAACCGGAAGTAGATCTCCATCTGTGGCAGAGTCAGTTCACTGTCAAACGAGAAGAATATCGAATTCTAGTTTTCAGAGGAATCGCGATTTTGGAAGGAACTGTATTTCGTCTGCTGATGAACTTGATCAGGTTAATATTTCTTCAAGTCACAAAACATTCGGCTGTCTTTAATCTGTCACGTGAAATTCTGTTTAACAAAAAGTCAAAAAATTTTCTTTCAGTCATCTAGATTCGCCATACTTCATTATGGGAAGAAGATCCCTGAAGTAGATTCTGAAGAATTGAGCTCCTCTTCTTCACACGCCCGATCTATGAGAGACGGTGCCGAACGTCGTCGTAAGCCTAGGTATTGATATCTGCCTTCTTATTTTTTAAGAATGAGATTTTCTAGCAAGAGACAATTTATTAATTAATAGCCTTGTTTGGATTTTTCAGAATGAGACGATCAAACCGCGCAGATCTACAACGTTCTTTACTCCTCCAGAATGGTCGGATTATGGAGGAACCCCATATGCTTAGGGCAGCCCGAGCAGGATGCGATCACAGAGTAAACTTTAAGTTGATAAGTTCTTATCAGTATTGTTAGACAGTGACGTTCACACTTTTTTTCATTATTAATTACCGTTTTTCTCAGGCAAGTGGTAGCTACAGAGGAAGTACGGGTCACTGTAGGGAGAGGAGTCAAACAAGCGTGACAAATTTGAAGAATAATTGCATTGCTGTCGGTGGTAATCGTTTTATTGCTATTCCTCAATTTTCTGGCTGGATGATACTCCTCTTTTGTTATGGAATTGAGAAATTTTTTGATTGTAGAATCGGTACTTGCTCCTCGGCCTGATGATGACGAGTATATGACAATGCATATTCCGCGCGGCGTTCCTAGTCAACAGTCATCACTTCTTGAAACAAGCGATAGTGAAGGTTGATATCACTGTCACTGAGCTTCACACTCGTGTTACGGACAAAATTTTGTAATTGTTTTAGTTGTTAATAGATATTCTCTTATTAGCACATGTCTTTTTTAGGAAGAGATGAAGGTCAGTATATCTATCCAGATCAATTTCGTAGTTCACAAAGAAAACCAACTCCACCAGTTCATGGAAGAAGACGTCAAAATGGCGATGCAACAGAGGATCGCAATCCCGTTTATGACAACCCCGCCAACGAAACTTTGCTCGTCAAACCCAGTGCAAAGAGAAAGGTTTAATGGTTTTCAGAACTTCAGTAGTAATTTTTTTAAGATATGTTTGCTGGTTTTTGTAGAGGTCCTGTAAATTTATATATTTATCAGCTGGAAACAGTTATTCTTTTAGGTAAACAGTGTTAGTTCGCTAAAACGACCGCTGTCATCACCGAATCTGCATGGGGATCTTGACCATATTGATAGCGAAAATGAAATTTCTATGGAGTTAAAAGCTAATTAGAGCGAAAACCACCGTATTGGTGTTTTTTTGGATCTACAGTTATATGCTTTTTTTTTTCTTTTTTTTTTTTTTTTTTTTTTTTTT